CCCCCCCCGCCACGCCCCCCCGCGTCCCGATATTTGTCTTTGGTGATCTGGTCACCCTAGTTGCAAAGGTTGGTTAATACTTACAGTCTGTTTTAATAACCTGGTGTTGGAAGATATAGACGCGTGCAGAGGAAACTAACGTGAAAAGCTTTTAAAGCTGTTTACTCTCCAACTTAATTCAATAAGCCTTAAACTGAAATAAAGCGTAGGAAATCCAAGCTTAGCCTAGTCCCCTTAAAGTTTGAAAAGAAACAAAATATGGCCTATTAATAGTTAATAGCCGTCGTAGATGGGGAGCATCGATTCGTTGTTGAAGATGGAGACATTGAAGAGTAGATAGGTGGATAGATTGCATCTAAAATGGTGAGATGAATCGCCTTTTTATAGGGCAAATGCCGGAAATCCTTCCTCTTATGCCCAAATTTCATCCTTCCCCCACAGAAATGTTAGGGTACATTTACCCCAAAGGCTAGTATGTATGTGCGTATGGATGACAGGTATGTATACACTTGTGGTGTACTTGTTAAGCCTGTGGGTACAATTTTGAAAAATCCCCTTTGCCATCCTTCATTGTCTATCGGTTTATGTAAAGGTCTCTAGACATTTGCGTGGGTGTTTTATCTATTTGGGTAACAAATATAGGTCATCTTTACTTTAACTGGGTAAACGGTCCCAAAATATGCTAACTTTGGCTTAGCTTAATATACAGGCTTTTGGCCTGTAGGTCTCTTGCCTATTTTTAATATAAATCTATAAACCCATTACACCAAATACTAAAATTCATAAGAAAAGATCTATCTATGCAAGCAAGCAGATTAATCCTTAGGGTTACAGAGCCTAGCAACCCTCAGCAGCGTCCAGCTGGGTCTGACCCTCTCCAGGTAGCTCAGGCCCCTCTTTGTCCCCAGTCCAGAAGTGACCTCCTTCCAGCCGAGCTCCCCCACCAGCCCCGCCCCCACCCTTTGTCTTTGTTCCTGGGCAAACAGGTCACCTGAGTCCCCTCCCTCCCGTCCTTTGTTCCCTGACTGGCCAGAACCGGCTGCCTTCCTGGGACCTCTCTCCTCTGTTCTTTGTCCTCCCACGGGCCTGAACTGGCTGCCTCCCAAGATGGGCTGGGTCTCCGGCTCACCGGTTGCTAAGTTCTACAGTGTCCAGGCCAATGTCCAGAGTCCAGGCTGTTAGACGAGATCACACCTGGCCCTCTGCAAACACAACTCCCCTCTCCCACCACCTCGTTACACATGCATCACACAGGGAAACTGAGGCACAGACAGTATTCATGCAAATCACTAACAAAATCCCCCACTTCATCACAGGCTGTTTTTAAAATAAAAGTTTCATAAAACTAATCACACAATTTTTTGGATTTTAGAAAGTTTTCACAGAGATCTTGGCCTTTTAAAACTAATTATCACAAAAAATATCCCACACTTTTCAATTACTGCCCCATGTTTTAAAATATTTTCAGGACACAGAAAAAAAAGACATTTGAATTATTAAGATAGATAGATAGACAGACAGACAGATAATGACTGGTAATGATCTTGACCTGGCGGTTCCAAGGTTTCCCAGTGAATCACGTTTTTCCCAACATCTCAACCTGGTAATTCACAAGACCTAGGAAAAACACACAAGTCATATACTGAGCTCAATACAATAGATTCATAGATTCTATGACAGGAAGTGACCTCGAGAGGTCATCGAGTCCAGTCCCCTGGCCTCATGGCAGGACCAAATACTGTCTAGACCATCCCGGATAGACATTTATCTAACCTACTCTTAAATATCTC